CTTTTAATGTCTAAGAAAAATATAAGAAAGTTGTGTGTGTGTGTGTGTGTGTCCTGGGTCTTTTGTGGTTTGCCTCATTCTCATTCTCACTCACATGTGATGATCTTATGATCTGACTGTTGCTGCTTTGGAGTAAGTTCAGCCTAATTGCACAGGTGGTTTGAGGAATGAGTACAAGACATATTTTGAGAAATCTTCCAAGTAAATCCCAGATGAAATCTGAAATTTAAAAAAAAAAATGCAGTGAAAGTTTAAATGGAAAGGATGCACAAAATTTCATTAATTGCTTGCAAACAAAAAGAGAGCAGATGATATCAGATAAAGCAAAAAAGCATTGAAAGGAACAAACGGCCACTTTTATAAGATCAAAAGTGAATATATAACTATTTATAAACTCTTCTGAGATAAGTCTCATTGTTTCAAAATATACTGAATACAACCTAAATGTTTCAATAGCAGAATGAATGGTTAAATTTATTGTGGTATAATATATATATGTAGTGACCTAATCTGTTAAGAGTGGTATTGTTGAAGTTTCTTTGTTCACAAAGACGATCATATTGCAGATAGTATAAATATTATTCTTCTACTTTGATTCAAATTAAAACAAAAAATATTAACGGGTTATCTCTTGGTGGTGAAACTAGAGTCAGTTGAAATATTTTCACCTGTACTTTTAAGCTTTTCCTTTAGTTTATATAGTAAATTATGTTATTGCACCTAAATCCCCACTGCCTCTCCCACTGGGAGGACTATAGTTTCATGCAATACTGACCTCAGCTGGGCCATGTGACTTGCTTTGACCAATAAAATGTGAGTGGAGGTGACATGTGCCACCCACAAGGAAAAGCTCTAAGAACCATCCCCTGGTTCTGCCATGGCTCTTTTTCTACCTTTCATAGGGGTTGTTCCTTAAGCCTGAATGAAGAGGACTCAGAGTAGGTCTGCAGCTGCCCTAAGGGATATATAAATGAGCAAGAAGTAAACCTTTCTTGTGAGCCCCTGAGATTCTGGGCTTAGCCTGTGGGCCAGGCTAAGTTGTCCCCAGTTTCAAGTGTTTTTCTGGACACATGTAATTTATGATGCCTGTGAACAGCAAGTTCTAGAAGTCCTCCTTACCACCTTTGCTTTAATTAGGTCCCTGGGTTATAAATCTGAATTTTATGTCACTCAGTATAAATGCAAATGTTACAGCACTTAGCAATACTTGTGGTGTTCCCATTGTTGTGAAGGAAAAATGAGACAGAAAAATTAGATGTTCTGCTCTCACATTGCTGTTATTTTCAGCCACAATACTTTTCTTATTGAGTATAGTAATTATGTTGGTGTTGACTTCAGAATCTATGGTCTTTCTTTGGTTTAAAATATTATTTAGGCAATTTCTGAAAATGTGCTTCAATAGACATGAAATAAGTTGTGTTTTTTTTAATGTCACAGCAATTCCTACAACCTTCTAACAGTGTTTAGACTTACTTTTATAACACATTTTGAAATAGAGCAGGTGATCAAACACTTGGTTGATAATTGGTTGGAATGATCTTCAAAGGACATCTCATTCAACTTCGTATTAAGTACTTGAAACACTTTTTACTAAAAAAAAAAAAACAAAATTTAATAGAAACAACAATAACCTCAATATTCTTGGAATGAATTAAATTCTCTTACCTTTTCTTCATTTTGGTATTATTCAACATATTCATGGTTGGGATTCAGCTGAAATGTTGCCCTTTTATCATAAACAAGTTAGCCTGAAAATGTCATTAAATTAAAACAAAAATCAGGTTGTTAACATTCGTGTTAATGAGGAAAGTGCAGTTAAAAAAAAAAAAGAAAGAAAGAAAAAAGAAAAAGTCCAGCAGAGGAAATGTAGCTTGGATTGAATTTACTTCCAAATGGATCACCATTTAATGAGTTGGGTTGTTTTAATCTCATCCCTCGGGGGCACTTGAACACATCACAAAACCACCATACTTTTGGCAGAGGTGTCAGCATCTACTTGTAAAACATCTTGGACCAGAAAGGAAAGTGCTTCAAATCAAGTATCTGAGCAGTGTTTTTGCTTTCTGTTTGCTGGCACTGGAGCCTGGCTTCACAAGCTTTATTTACACTTACTAGACTGCCTTCAAAAAACAAAAGGATGAAGTGATCATCTAGCAAGTATAAGCTTATAACTACCTTTTGCCAATACTAAGTGAAACTTCATCTCTAGCCAAGGAAATTGCTCTACAGCTCTTTACATTTCTATTTGTCCAAAGGCTAGTTTTGTTTCAAGAGAGTATCTCCAGTTTAGTGTGTAAGTAGCTTTTATTTTTCCTGTGGTGATAGTGAAGTTGAAATCTTAAGAATGGATTTTGTGTTCTATTCACAGAATGTCCAATTTTCAGAGTTTATAAAAATTCCCCCTTGAATTATTGGAAGTCTTCTTTCAAATGTTCTCTGTAACCAGTGACCATTAAAATCCTGATTAACACATTCAGGGTCACAAAATCCATTAGCATTATGTTACAGATTTTTAAAATGTAACTATAGGCCTGTATAAAATTTAATTTACTGGAATTAAATTTGATCACATGTAGAATTTACATGATCTATACATGATCTGATTGATATATTTGTGTCACTGACATAATCTATTAAATATTTACATCTCCAGCCTGGATTTCTGTGAGCTCCAGACCTACATTTCCAAGTGTTTGTCTCCATTTGAATGACTCAGTGACATCTCAAACTCAATGTGCCTGAAACCACACTCATGACCTTCCCCTCAATCCTGAATTTCCTTTGACCTCCTTGACCCTGCCTCCCCACCACGTCCAGTCTCAGTCCACAGACTGGGTATTGGATTTCCTGCCACCACTCCAGTCCATCCTCTTCTGCACCCTGTTGGGCCCCCCTCACCTTTACTTCCCCGCTTCGAGTTGTCTCATGGCTGCCAAAGTCATCCTTCAATAACACAGATCTGGATACCATACCCCGTGATGGCTTCTCACGCTTATGAAAAAAATCAAAATGTCAATGTCTTAGTCCACAGGTGCTGCTATAACAGACTACCCCAGACTGAATAATTTATGAAGAACATAAATTTCTTTCTCACAGTCCTGGAGGCTGGGAAGTCCAAGATCAAGGTGCCAGCAGGTTAGGGTCTCTGCAGCCGAGACTGGTCAACAGAGATAGGCCAATCCTCTTGCAAGACGACGCACCTTGAATGCTGCATCCTCTGCAGTGGAGGAACACCATGTTCTCAAGTGGCAGAAGAACAGAAGATAGAGAACCCACTCACACAAGCCCTTTATATGGCGGCATTTGTCCATCCATGAGGGTGGAGTCCTCATAATCTAACACCTCCCATCAGGCTCACCTCCCCAACACTGTTTGCACCAGAGTTAAGTTTCCAACACGTGAATTTTGGGGGATACATTCAGACCACAGCAACCAACATAGCCTGCAAAGCCCTGCAGGGACTGGCCTGTGCCTTTTGGGGACCATCATGTCACCATCTCTCTGTGCTCTCGTCATATCAGCCAGCACTAATTCCTTGATCATGCCATGCTGGACAGTCATCTCCTAGTTAACCCTTCATCCTTCCGATCTCAGCTCTGACTTCCAGACTCATTGGTTCACTTCCCCGTGTGTCTTCATAAAGTTCATGAATCTTCTTTTTTCTGTTGTTGTTGTTGATTATTTGACTTACTGTCTTCTCCTCTAGACCGAAGTTCAGGTCTCACTTTTTCTGGCCTATAGATTGATCTCTGTTCCTTGCCAGCAGGTTCCTTTCCCACCTATGCTAACAGACCCACACAAGTGTTCTGTGCTTCCTTTAAAGAATATTACCACTAAGATGGGGGCTGGAACTTGGCCTTCTTAGAAGAGGATAAAGTTCACTATAGTGGTCTACCTTTTGGGTAGCTTTTAATCTTATATCATAGTGCTTACCTTTTTAACATTTTTTAGCATGCCTGTGTTGGAGACATGGCCAATTTAACAATGTTTCTCTCTGACACAAGCTTTTTACTTTAGTATTAAAAATACAAACCTTCCTTACATAAGTCCAAGTAAAAAAATCAAGTGGGCTGGATGTGGTGTTTCAGGCTGTAATCCCAGCAATTTGGGAGGCTGAGGCAGGAGGATCACTTGAGGCCAGGAATTCAAGGACAGCCTGGGCAACATAGCAAGACCCCATCTCTACAAAAAAAAAAATAAATAAAAATTAGCTAGATGTGATGGCATGTGCTTGTAGACCCAGCTACTCAGGAGGCTGAGGCAGGAGGATCAGTTGAGCCCAGGAATTTGAAGTTGCAGGGAGCTGTGATGACACCACTGCACTCCAGCCTGGGCAATGGGGTGAAAACCTGTCTCTAAAAAAAAGTAAATAAATAAATGAAGTGGCTGCTGGCTGTGAATAATTGAAGCAACTCCAGTTACCTCTGCTCTGAGATAGGCTTGTCAGTCTGTAGGTGCTGGTGAGCCTGTTGGTTGTTGAGTCACATGTAGGCACGTTGTTGTTTTGAGGTACACATATCTGTGGATATGTGTATTCCTTAATCTTCACAAATGCTGGATCATAGGATGCACATAATGTGTTAACCCTTTTGTAACTGACTGTTCTATATAGGATTTAATCATCATATACATGATATGGCTGAACCAAAGACAAATATGGACTGAGCTCTTATTAGAATCCATTGGGTAGGGGAAATTAAAATTTCTAGAGAAGCAGCTGATGTACTATGGCATTAGGGTCCGGAATATAGCTTTGTAATCTGCTTTAAAAGAAAGAAAATATCTGGGAAGAATTTGACTTTAGCACATGGGTTCTTCCTTGTTGACAGTCCTTTTTTACATTTTGACACTTTCATTCTTCACCTGAAAATCTAAAGGAAGAGATATTTTCTAATATGTCAGAGTCCTTCCTCTCACACAAATTAATATTTTTTCCTAAATATAATAATTTTAATTTGATTTTTAATTACCCACATGAGGCTTGTTTGTTTTGCTTTTAGGTGGTTTGGACACCTTCGATATTTGCCTGCTGTCTTCTAGCGAAACCTGACTCGTGAAATGGAATGAAGCTGAAAAATCATCTCCGTGAATCTGAGAGAAGATTGGGATGGTCTTAAGTGCACATCGCTAGACTCTAACTGCAGCGATGAGTTCAGACGAGAAGGGCGTATCCCCTGCTCATAAAACAGCCACTCCAACCCATAGAAGTGCCTCCTCTTCAATATCCTCCCAAAGGGACAGTAGGCAGGTAAGAAGCGAGTGTTAAGTGTGTTTTGTTATTTTATTCCAATACAGTACCCATTAGGATATCATGAGATTGCTAATTCTGAAATTTTGTTGCAAAGTCTTTTATTCCACAAGAAAACTCATTATTTTCTGTAGATATAGCTGACAATGTCACGTAGCTCCCACTCTTGCTTTTCTGTTGCTTAGGGCCTTGTTTAGCATGCAGACGCGAATGGGCTGGGGTGACTAGGGGAAGCCCTGCCTCACTCTCCTCACTGTCTGCTCCTGGAGGGGGCCCCAGCATCAGGAACTCGAATGTTCTGCTCTCTCTCTCTTCGTTTGTGGAGCTGGAAAGGGATCCACGAACCCGCAAAAAAACTTCTTCTTCCCATAAGTCTCTCACTGCTCTGCTAAGCACTCATCTCTGTTTGGTGTTGCATGGAATCTGGTAACAGATTCTGGAATTGGGTTACGCATAAAATTGTAGTATCAGGGAATTAAGAGCAATGAGAATTCAAACAATGTTTAAAGGCAACAGAAAAAGTAAATTGTTATTGCTTAATTACGGTAGAAAACGTTCATTGTCTCATTTGAGACAATTCTGTAAGTTATTTTTGTTTACAGAGTTCATTACTATTTTAGTGGCTGTTCCGCTGCCAGGGTTGTGTGGGGATTAATCATGTGAATGCTCTTTGTAGGCAAAACGGTTGGTTTGTTTCAGTCAGCACAGGTCTGAGTATAACTATTTTTCACTTTCATATTGTCTTGTGATAGTATTTTTAGCTGTGTAACTGAAAATTCACAGTAAGTAGGTGTTGTTAACTTTTCATAAAAACTTTCTGTTGTGGCAACTTTCGATGAGTCAGCCTTCCTGCAGGGTCTACTTCACTGCCTGCCACCCCCTACCCTCTCTGTGTTCCCAGCATATTCCTCGTTTCTAGAAGTGCGAGCATCAGATATTCAGTATTCCATCATGTAGACATGGATCTTGAGACAGCCCGTTCCAGAGGTGAATTCGTTCTTCTAGATCATGGGACCACACTGCTGGGGGTGCTCTTTAGGGAACCCTCAGTCTCAAACCCTCCAGCATTCCCTGTCCCAATTCTAGCAAGAAATTCCAGGGGAATTTATACAAATCAGAGATTCCTTATGTGTGTGTCTTTCGCAGGTCCTAAGGCAGGTATTCCTACTCCAGGCTCTTGGAGAATTATTGACACTGGTGTCCTTTGTTATTGAGTTCAAAGAGAACGCTTATATTCTGTTAGTTAAAGGCAGTTATGCAATTAACTAAATCTGTGATTACACAAAGTTATTATATTTAAGAGTGCCAGGAATGAAAACACTTTTATATTAAATAACTACTGCATGCTAAGATGCTTTCTAAGTTTGCAAATTTAGGCTACCCTTCACCTGACCCTCTGTTCTTATTACGACATCTCCATTTTTCCCTTGCCCTGGGCATTTAAACCGAGACATATTTTAAGCAGCCTGGCCTATCTGGCTGCCGGGAGGAAGGAAGGGATTGAGCCAGTTTACCCTGGAGAACTGTGACAAATGGAAAAGACTGATGACTGCTGTAGAAACATCTGTCGCGCGTTGTTGCTCTGCCTGTTGCACCTGAGCTCCAGGAGCAGCCTGCAAAACAGCAGGGAAAAACCGAGACCTGGTTCTGCTAGCAGGAGTGGAAGTTGGAACGTGTGACTCCTCGCTGGCTTGTGAATGGAAAGTTTTATGATGGGAATGGAAGTGGCTTGTTTGTAAATTGATAATGAATTCTAGAAAAGTAAGGGACACCATTCAAATGCTTATTATTCTTTAAAGAGGGTGTTTACTTTCATTCCTATTTATCTCAGCAGGTGGAAACTCTCCCAAATATTTTCCCCTCTGATTCCTTCCTGACTCCTGTTTTGTGACTATCCATCTCCCTTAGGGGAGAGAAGAATGGAAAAGAAAATTATAGTGCTGTTTTTCCTTCCATATCTCAATCACTACCTAAATTTTAGAATTAACTTGTGGAACTCAGAAATTTGGGTGATCCTGTGATGTGATGTGACATGGTGCAGTGTTTTTTATATGCACCTATTTTTACATGAAAGCTGTTTTCATAGTGAAGGGACATAGAGAAAGTGTGATAAATTAGTGTTCATTGAATCTTATCCTTTCTTCTTATTTGACTGACATCTGTGCAGCTGGTGCCAAATTGCAATATCCAGCCCTATTTCTTTCCTGAATTAATCACATAGGTAGAGAATTTGTTTGGCATGTAGCTGAAAATACAGTGTTATTTCCCTAAGTTCTAGTCCTTCCTAAGTTCTAGTCCCAAATCACTAATGAATTGATTGAGCATTTCTGCTTAGATGTAACACTGCCTGAGTGGTACCACTGTGCCGTAAATCAATATGTATAAATCAGTGTGCCATCAGGATAACCATTCTCTTGGGGACCCAGGGTCAGTGCCTGCCTTTCTCCTCTGCTGCTCCCACGTTCAATAAGTTACCAAGCCCTATTGATCATTTCCTCCTTCATAATATAATTTCCCTCCATCCCCACTATCAGCTCCCTTGCACACACTGCCATCACGCTACCCAGGGTCCTGCAGAGTGCTCTAGCCTCGCCATCCCCCTTGTGGCCTCATCATTTCAGATTTCCTGAATAGGGCAGATTCATGTAGAATCCTTCGAAGACTCTCTGTTACCTACATGATTAAGGCCAGAGTTCCTTTCTGAGTACCCAGCATCCAGCATGCTCTGATCCAGTCTCATATCCCATTTTCCTCCCAACCTGAACAGTCTTATCTGCCCTTGGTTCCTAAACCTGCCCTATCTTTATCTCTGGTTGTCTTTCCCGAATGGAATTCCCACCACCCTCCTCTCCACCTGATGCCTCCCCGTGCATCAAGGGCCGGCTCATGCAACACTGTCTCTGGTCACTCAAATCCACATCATCCTCTCCCTTCTCTGAACTTTTATAGCCCATTTTGACAGTATTTGACATTTTTATATTGTCTGTCTTTTTCTGTGTTGATCTCCTCAACTGTGCTCTCTCTGTGAGCTCTAAACAGACTGCATACTCTAATTCTTCAGGTTCGGAGACATTGACCTCAAATGTTCTGATATATCCTGCAGGATATTTTTTAAGACCTGCAACAATATTAGTCTTGTCATTTTGTTACAAATTTTCCATTCCACATTTATTTGTCCTTCTCTTCTTCCTTCCTGGTGGATAAGTAAAACAAAGAACATCTGTGCATAGTAGCGATGGGCTGCCCTTCCTGTCGTAAAGTTACTAGCACAATAGGTGAAGAGGGGAGAGGAGGTGGGAACCAAAGTGACTCAGTGCCCCTGTGATTTCACTAAGTGTTTCTGCAACAATGATAGGGTCGAGACTCCACTTAGTATTTAACAACTTAGAAGACTTTAGTAATTGCTCCATTTATATTTTATTCAAGTCTGACATGAGATGTTAGAACATCTAACAAAACTGGCTCTGTGTGTGTGACCATCCTGACTCATAAGCTGCAATGAATATGTATGCCCTAAAACTTTCAGAGGGAACAAAAAGTCTGTTGATGAGACATCTAAGACTTAACCTTTAAATCAGAATTCCCCAAAGTACATCCCAAGGAATGCTTGTCCCTTGAGACATTGTATGAAAAGAGAGTTCTACCATCAAGTAAGTTAGAGAAATGCTGAACAAAATCTCTTTTGCAATGTGCATTAATAAATTATGGATGCTGATAAATCCTGAAGTAAGAACTTTATTTTTTATTTAGGTGAGCACTTCTAGAATTTACTATATTGTGGAACTTCTTTTTTACTCTAAGATTTGGTTGTGAAAACTCCAGATTCTTCTGTTAAGAAATCAGGAGATCAGGAACGCTGAGCGCAGATTCCTAATGGCAACACTCAACTGGGCGCAGTAGTGGCTTCCAGCTGAGCTGCGGCATTTACTCTTCGATAGGCCACAGTCCTCGCCTGTCCTCACTGTATTCCAGTACTTACTTACGTTGACTGCCTTGCCCGTGAAAGCATTTGAATTTGTGAACCTTGACCCTGGATGCAGTAGGTCAGTCACAGTAACATTTAACTTACCAAGGGTGATCCTCACTTGGATGTTAAGAAGGAATTTCAAAATTAGCATGTCCAAAATGGAACTCCTAATTTCCCTCTCAAATCTGGCTCCTTCCCAGTCTTCCCTATCTCAGCAAATGGCAACTCCATCCTTTCACTGGGTAAGGCCAAAACCAGGAATCATTCTCGACTTCCTTTGCTCATACCCTGCTTCCAAACCATCAGCAAACCTATTGGTTCCACCTTACGACATGCCTGGAATCTGACCACTGTTTGCCATCTCCCCCCGCCACCCTGGTCGGAGCCACCATCATTTCTCACCTGACTGTTGCCATAGTTCTCTAACAGGCTCCCTGCTTGTATCCTCGCCCAACAGACAGGTCATTCTTTACAGAACAGTCAGATCCCTTCAAAACCTAAGTCAGATTGAGCCACTCTTCTGCACCAAGCCCTCCAGTGACTTCCTGTCTCTGTCCAAATAATACTGAATTGCTGACCACTGTCTACAAGGTCATGCATCCTCTGGTTCTGCCTGACTGTCTGAGCCCATCTCCTGCCACAGCCCTTTCCTTGGTTCTCTCCAGCACCTTCCTCGAGGGCCTTTGCATTTTTGGTCCCCTCAGCTAACTTGCTTTTCCTCCAGCCATTCCCAGGCTTGTCACACACTTGAGTCAATCTCCAAATGTATCATTTGAGGTGGCCTTTGCTGCCCTTCCCTGCATATCCTTATCACTCGCTGTCCAATTAGCTGGGTTTATTTTTCTTCAAAGCACTGGTCACCACCTGGCACGTTATACCAGGTCTGTCCAGAAAGTATCAAGCCATTGGTAAGATAACGAAAATAATTTGGGGAACATCGAGGTAACCTGGCAGCCAAGGAGAGTGGACTGGGATGCACATACGTGAACAGTGACAACTTCACTGTAGTAGTCAGTGGAGCGCTAGACGCCAT